CAGATTTTCATTCAGAATATAACTCCCAAAAACACATTTTCCTTGACTTGTTCAATACACTTATTATTAATAAATAGTTGTATATCTAGGCAGTATTTTTTTGTCTGGGTTTAATTACCATAAATTTCGTTTTTTTGCGTATTAAGCGACAATTTATTTGCTTGCAACCAATCAGACAGTTTTTCCAATTCATTATTCAAAGAATCGATTACATATTGCGGATCTTTATGCGAGAAGAAAATGTTAATTTGTATCATCAGCAAATAAAATTGTTTCAACTAACTGTGACACATTGCAAAAATTATAAGTAAAAAGAACAAACGGCCAAGAATAGAACCATGAGGCACCCCACAACAAACCGCACTAGGAGATGAGCGATGTTCATTAAATTGAACAAATTGGGTTCTGTTGGTAAAATAACTTTTTATTCATTGCAATGGCAAGCCGCGAATTCCGTAATGTTCCAACTTATCAAATAGAATCTCATGATTCACAGTATCAAAAGCTTTAGATAAATCCAGGAAAATCCCCACAGAAGTTTCTTTTCTGTCAATCGCGTCTGAAATCTTGTCATATAAATCGATCAAAGCAAGTGAAGTGGAATGATGTTTGCGAAATCTGTATTGACTATTGATTACCATATAATATCTTAAATTTATCGAAATATGCCAATAAACGATTATATACATAGCCATTTCAAAAAACTTTGAAAAACATGGAAGTGTAGATACTTGTCTATAATTTGAGAATATTGCACGATCACCTGCTTTAAATAAGGAAATTACACATGCAATTTTCATGTCATCAGGGACAATGCCACTAGCAATGAAATAATTATGTATATGAGAAAGTGGTTCTGCAATGATATTAATAAACTGTTTAATTATTGACATAGGAATTTTATCATAACCAGCAGTTTTATTTGATTGAAACAATTTAGCAATTTCAATAATTTTAGCGGAGGTCACACTATCAAGAAAAACAGACTGAGAATAATATCCAGAAAGAAACAATTAACGATGTGACTGAAAAGTTTCTATTTTCTTAGCAAGATCTGGGCCAATATTAGGGACCGGTCATTATTTATGGTGGGGGGTGGCACCGAAGAGAAATGTTTTTCGTGGCAGAAATTTTGCCGACCCAACCATTAAAAAGTCAAAAATTTGATTACCCAACCTCAAATATCAAATAAAAAATAAATACCCACCCCTGTGACAACTGAATGGTAACCAAAAGGTTACCATTCAGTTGTCACATATGTCCTTTACCCGATTTCTGTGACAGGAGTTTGATAACTGCTTGTGAAATTAATTTGCTGCAGTTTAATGTATCATGTTGTCTGCACATGTGCTTTCTTTGGAGACACCATTAATTTGTCTTCTAACAAATTGGAAAATGATCAAGACAGTGACTGATTGATTCACATATTGTATTGACATACGACTATAACTTTTTATTACCCAACCCTTGAGTTGTTTTGTTTTTCATTTACCCAACCTTTTACTTACTCAAAATTTAGTTTACCCAACCATTTTCTCTTCGGTGCCACCCCCCGCCATAAATAATGACCGGTCCCTTAGTGAAATAGTTGCAAAATTTATTGGCAATTAAAATTGGATCAAAGATCTCCGTGCTATCACTCGTATTAAATGAACTTATGTTACGCTTTAATTTCTTTTTATTAATAACCTCATATTGAGAACCTTCCAAGTAGATTTCATGTCAGATTTCATATTCTGCAATTTTATTATTATTATTATTATTATAAATTTCCAAACTAGCAGTAACAACTGAATTACTTTGGAATTACAGGGTATAAGAACATAGGTATTTAATCTATTCTATATTTACAGGTAAAAATAGGTAAGTTAGATAAAATAACGATAATAATCTAAAGTTTACTTATTATTATAAGCACGAGACGCAGCAGGAATGAAACTGTTCGAAAAACGTTCAGTTCTACACCTAGGTACTAATAAGTTGGGATAAGACCTCAGATTATAAGTTTGAAGACTTTTAGGCGGTACTAAGGCATTCAGTTTATGAGTGGGTTCCAACATCTTCGAAAAAAGTCGCTTGCAATGGACAGTTCTACGTTCGTAAAGAGTCATCAAGTTAGCTTTAAGCAAACATTCAGCATAGATAGTTCCAGGGAAAATAATTTTTAATGCCCTTTTTTGTATTTTTTCAACTTGGTCACTCAGGTAATGAGGAAGGCCATAATGCCACACCTGACAAGCATATTCGACAATTGGTCGAATATGTGTACAATAGGTTGAGATCAGAATATGAGAAGGTAAAGCATTTCTTTTAAGAAGGCGCAGACCGTACAAACGCTTCGCGGCTTTCTTGCAAATGTAGTCAATATGGCAGTTCCATTTGAGGTCGTCCGAAAGGACAACGCCCAATAGTTTGGCCTCGGAAACGACGTCGACCTCTTGACCGCGAATGGTAATAGGGGCAAACGATGGAGTAAGCTTAGAAAAGCAGACACGCAATTCTTTGGTCTTTGATACGTTTAACTTCATATTATTGTCTGATGACCATTCAGAGCAGCTGATGATGTTAGCGGGTAACTGGGAAGGGGAATTGTTTGATATTATTTCCCAAAGGCTAGTATCATCGACAAATTTAACAGTTTCATCCACTACAGCCAAGTCATTTATCATGATCAAAAATAATAGCGGGCCAAGCTTCGTTCCTTGTGGGACGCCGGCGTTTAAAAATTTCCACTCAGAAAAGAACTGACCAACACGGGTTCTTTGTTGTCTGCCTGTTAGGAAGTTTGCGATCCAGTTGAGTAACACGGGATGAATTTCCATGTCTTTCAATTTTTCCAACAGAATGTTATGATCTAATCTATCAAACGCCTTGGCAAAATCAAGTAAACAAATCCGTATAGTGTTGCCTTGTTTGTCAGCTGCTTCAAACCATTTATGTAGCATGTAGATTAATGCCATACTAGTGCTTGAACCCTTCAGCGAACCAAATTGCAAGGAATCAATTTTTTTTGAGACGGAGTCAAGTAGCCATTTGTAGGGAAAGTATTCAAGAATCTTGCTGATAATTGGTGTGAGGGAGATTGGTCTGAAGTCAGAATCAACATCTTTAGGAGGCGAAGATTTTTGAACTGGTGTAATATTTGCTGCCTTCCATATTGAGGGAACAAATCCTTCACGAACTGATGAATTAAAAATAGAACACAAAGGTCGACACAACACTGAAGCGTTTTCCCGGAGAAGCCAAGAGGGAATTTCATCGGGACCAGCAGATGAATGAAGTTTTGATGATAATAGGGCCTTTTCAGTCTCCTCGACAGAGATGCAGAAATCATCTGGAATGTCATTTGTGGGAAGGGGGAGCCAGTTTAGATTGGGTAAGGAGGACCCTACAGCAACGAACTTGTCGTTGAGCAAATTTGCTAGATCGGCATCAGAGTAGGATTTACCTTGGAACATCATTGTAGATACATTCTTAGAAGACTTAGACGCAACCGTCTTTTTTTATAAATATTTTGACATTGTAGACACTCCTAGTCCTGATAAATTTAAATAACTGCGTTTTACTTACACGTCTACGCTGTTCGCTCAATTCAAGAAATCGTTTCTCTGTAGAAACTAGCATTGCTCGGCGGTCAACGGCATCTTCCTAAAACACATAATTTGAATAAACTGTCTATTAACAACTGCGCGAGAGAGACTTTCAATTTCCATGCTATTTACACATTAGCACCCTAACCTCTGTCTTGGACTTGTTTTTACCTGGAAAACAAAACATTTCCGCAAATCAATCAGTGTTTAAGAGGGAATTTTTCCGAATGCAATTGAAATCAGAATTGCATGCTCAAGGCCAAGAGGTTTCTAACTCTGAGATACAAAGGCGTACCAGAGGACCTAGTGTTGCAAAAGTTCAACCGGTTTAATAGGTCTTAAATTGTGCACATGCTGTATATATGCTCATTTGGATTATCCACCAAACCCAGCATTCACGCCAACCAAGTGAAGTGCGAAAGCATCTATAATTAATAATTACTTTTTGAGTCTAAAAATCTTTCATTTTTGGATTCTTTGTTATCTTTCCCAACACCGTGTTGTCTTAAATGGCTATGAAACAAACCACTTGATTTCCACTTGCCATTGTCGTAACTTGAATCTTTACCTAAACAAAGATTGCCTTTAATTAGTTCTTTGCAGGCTTTCATGGCGTAGGGTTCGTGTTTTCAACAAGAGGAGAATCTAGGATGCAGATCACCAATCAAATCGTCGAAGTGTTTCGATATAAAAAGGTTGTTAACCATCGAATGCCAGCGCCATCTCCTCGACGAGTAAAATTGTCTGGCGTTATTGGACAGGTTATATTAATTTCCCAATTGCACTCAAACCATCCTATTACCTATTCAAACCTCTGTATAACAAACTATATGAATTCAGTTAAGGAAATCATACGCCCGTATTCTAAAAGCTCACTCACACTCACACTCACACTCACACTCACACTCAATGAGTGGAGGTTCAATCTGAGCTTCTCTTGAGTGTTAATGCTGTTTTTGAATAGCTGGAGGGCTAGTGTCATAACTTACTCGGTGACTACTCGCCCTCCGGTTATTCAACAACAGTACTGGCCCTCAAGAGAAGCTCAGATTGAACCTCCACTCGTTGAGTGTGAGTGAGCTTTTAGAATACGGGCGATAGTCTGTCAAGATAGGATGGCCTGGAAGCCCAGTAAACTTCAAAGCCGCAAAATAGAAGACAGGTTTGTTTGATGTTGAACTGTACCTCACCATACACAAATCCTTTGTCTCAACTTCATTAAATATTATTCATCGTAGTTTCACATTTCATCTCAGCTATCCCTATTGGACGATTCTTCATTATGCGAAAATACAATGAGCTCAATCACCGTGACCGTGCACAAATTAACATAAACTCCGACAAAAACATAATACAATGACTTCTGTTCAGTTTCCAGACGATCATATCTTGATAGACTATGAGGAAAATTTAATCACCTTTCTTATACAGTTGGTTACAGTAAGCACAGACCAGACTGTCCTCGCCATCATAATTACGATGTGAATGGTGTTCATGTTTTGTATATCCATGTCCTTCGTGAGCAACAGTCTTTACTGGCAACAAGTCAACCATGTCATCCTTTTCCGCTTGATTACTAGTTATTACGAATGTGGAAAATGTTAGTCTACGCCTATGCGGGTAGCTGCATCTTATTGCATGCTGAATTGATCATAGCTGTTTCTCTAAGTAAGTTGAGGGTAATCCATACAATATTTTATTATATAGTAGAGAGTGAGATACTGAAAAATACACAGTGAGATATTTTCCATATCTTCACTAGTGAAGATATCGATCACATGACACAGTGAGATATTTTCCATATCTTCACTAGTGAAGATATCTTCACCTGACTTTTTTCCAATTTGCTTTTGAGCGTGAAATTTCACAATTTTTTGCTTGGGAATATATAATAAACAGAACATTACACAGTGGCTTGAAGATATGACTTTTATCTTCTCGTGTTAAAAACAATATTTTACTGCGCTCGTTCGTAAAATATTGTTTTCAACACACTCGAAAACAAAAGTCATATCTTCGCGCCGCCGTATAATATCGTCTATATATTGAGCGCACACATAGTAGTTAATATAGAAGACCTATATATTAACTATGGCGCACAAGAGCACGCTAAAGTTGGATTACATTTTTTGATACACCCTGTATACGTACAATCCTTATAGAATACACTCACCTAAACCTCCGCGTGCTTTCTTTAGGTTCCGTATATTTAAATCTTCCTGCATCGTGTTTGATATCTTGATCAGTTCTAAAGTCGTCAGGATGTAAACTAAAACTCACAGGCTGTTCCCAGGTTCTTCGAGTTGATCGTTCAACCATCCTACGGCAACTGTAAAGAAACGCAGGGAAAATTTATTGTTGCGCAGAACTAAACTGAAGAGAGTTATAGTTGCCCCAATTGAACAAACTGACAGAATATTATCACGATTCTTGAAGGGTTTTTGCAGATGTAAATATCGAGCGAAAGATTAGATACAATTTTAGACCTAACGAGGAGCTGCTGTGAAAAATGCAACTATAGACACCCTCTGGCAGGAATGGAACCTGTGGCCCTGCCATTCCGGTACAGTGCTCGAACCAACTGAGCTACAGAGAGACTCTAACCACAAGTTCATGTACAGTATATATATACAGGGTGTATCAAAAAGAACTGAACAGATTTAAAATTGCTCTCAATTTCGCAAAACAGCTATTTGTATCCGGTTTTTTATATATATAGCCTCTTTGGGTACTTATAATGTAGAATAATGAGAAAAATTTCTCGAACTCAAATTTTATGAACCAGGGGGGTGTGTCTTTTCCAACAAAATAAAAATGGCTCGCGCACAAAATTTAAAAGCTGCAATCATATTTTGAGTTAACAGATGGAAAATTTGTCGGGATTTTAATTACTGTAGAAAATTTCAGACAATTTGGTTTAGTTTAAGCCCCTTAACTATTCACGCAAAGTTACAATTTTCCCGAAAAATCAGCTATTTGCATGCGTAATTAATGCATTTGCCTAATTTGCATATGTCAGCAATATGCAAATTAGGTAAAGGCATTAATTAAGCATGCGAAAGGCTGACTTTTTAGAACAAAATGAATAGTTAAGGGGC